AAGCACCAATAGAGGCTCTGCAACACCAGCACCCACCAACTTGTTAAATACAAAATCAATTATACTAATTCATATTAAGGGCTAATTAAAGAAAGTAATCTTGATGGAAGAGAAAGACATAAAATTGACCTGCCAAATGGTCCAATAATGGAACAAACTCTTTGGGGTTGCAATGGTGAGGGAGAGAGATACACGCTTATGATGTGGCATGAGGAATTCTGGCTGAATGTGCGGTCAAATATAGTTCAGAAGAGCTTAAAACACAAAAAAAGAGGAAAAGAAAGTACTCACAACCTACCTTTTCCAACAATAATCCATGATTAGAATAATGAGGAAGGGTCAGATGACACTAATATGCGCAGCTCAGCTCAACTTTGCCTCTGCAATCAAATCAGACCATGCTTTTGGGTAATTTCCTTTCCTTATAAACATACCAGGAATTGACAAAACATAACAAATTATGCTATAATTGTTATGAAAAATTCTAATTGTAACACATGCAGGTGTGATCTGAGGGTGTTAAGTGCTGCAAATGAATTTTTCAACACAATATTGAAGCATCATGGGCTAATGGATTGTTTCTCAGAAATCAACACCAACCCATGCATTATTGATGAACAAGGCAGGCTTAGAATCTTACCCTACCATGATTTCCACTCATCTTCTTATGGCTGTACCATTTGCCCTCCCAGCATGTGCAAGGTGATTAAACTAAACTAATTGTATATATTTAGCTACCCCAAAATCAAAATCACAAATTTAATTACATTGGTTTAGTATGTTTGTGGGGTTTCTTTTGTTACAGGGTCTAATACTGGAAAAGATTCAAGCTTCTGTTGCAACAGATGGGAAGAAACATAAACAGTTAATTTATGTTGGGGATGGAGCTCCTGATTTTTGTGCAGGTTTGAAGCTTGACGAAGGAGATTTTCTGATGCCAAGGAGGGATTTCCCTATCTAGGACTTAATTTATGCCAATCCATTGTTTACCAAGGCAAAAATTTACGAATGGAATGAGTGTGATGAGCTCTGGGCTGTCTTGCTCAACATAGTTAATACATTCTTCACTGAAATGGGGTTGTCTTGCTAAACTCAGATGGGGTTCTCTTGCTTTTTCATTCAAGTACTCTATCCTAATTTGAGGATTTTAAAGTGAGGTTGATCATAAGCTCACTAACCCTAACCCCAAATCAATTGATTAAAAGTTAGCTCCAAAACTGAAGAACCCTAAATTGACCCATAGAAGCATAACTAGAGAGAAAGAGGAAGGAAAAGACTCACCTGATGACAGATCGATTTCCAGAGCACAGAGAATGATGAAGCGAATAGATAGAGACGGAGAGTGAGAGCAAGAGGGAGCGAGAGCGAGAGAGTGACTTCAAGATCGACAAATTGATATCCAATAGTTGCCGTTGTTCGAACCAAGAAGCCCAACTGAAGAAGAGAGAGCAACAATGGAACAAAGACTGACAACGCCAAGAAGAAGAAGAGAGAGGCGAGTCGCAGGAGTCTCTGAGCATTCTTGCTTTTGTTTTGTTATTGTTTCAGATTTCTTTATTTTCTATTGTTTTTGTTTTGGTTTTCTTTTACCTGGAGCAACCCATTTAACCGGTCACTTACTATCAACGGTGTAGATTACCCCACATCCCACAATAGCTTATCCAATGGTCTATAATAGTGGCGCATCCATGCGCAGGGCGCACCGTAGAATTTTCCGTGAAAGTGGTAGGTTAGTTTAGGTTAATCCAGTTGTGGGGTTTGTTGTGAACTTGTGATAGTCTAGTTGGTACCTTTTTAATAATAAAAAATTGAGCTTTTATTCATTTGATAGGTTTCTTTTCTCATTTTAAAATATGATTGATTTTGATGTTGATATATATTCGCCTCCTTTTGTTTTACATTAAAAAAATGGAGGACACAGCCAGCATTTTGCTTTGGACATGCTTTACAATTGTCAACATCCCCTTGACGCCACCTGTTTTTGATCAAAAAAAGGAAAAATAATCAATCCCAAGTTCCTAAAAAGGGCCAAGGCCCAACTCCCAATTCAAGCAAAACTCAACCGGTCTAGGGTTGGAAAACGTTTTGGGTGAGGAGGTCAAATCACGTCATCTGTGCGATCCGGCGTCACGATGGTTTCACTCGTAATGTAGATAGAGGGTTTCCATTATTTTTGGTCAGTCTGCCCCACCACCCAATACCTAAGGTCTAAAATCCCACAAGCCATGCAATCAGTAGAGATATTTGTTGGCATTGGCACAAAAGTGTGTGTGGTAGGTGTGAGCTTGCCTTCGGTCTATGAAAAATCATAGAAATGGAATCTAGTGTGGATCCAAATTCCCAAACTTTGCTACTTTTGCTTTGGTGTGTCTGGATTCAAAGATTGTGTTTGGACCCCACATTTGGTCCCCTCTTTCATTTCCACCTACCTGTGCTTTGTTCTTAGAGCATCCACAGTGGGGGTGTATATTAAATATACACCCTGAGTCACCGGAATGGTCTCCAATGGTGAGATATAAATGGATGTAAATATACATCACCACCATGGGGATGTAAAATAAAATGTATATTTACATCCATTTTTACATCCCTTGCAGGCGGGACGCACCTGAGAAAAGAGAAGAAAAATGAAGAAAAGTCAACATAAAAGGTTGGGACCCACGGCTACACCCCCGAATTTACACCCCCCACTGGAGCAAAAAACATATTTACACCCCCCGGAGGTGTAAAGGAGATGTAAAAGTGGCTTTACATCCCCGAATTTACACACACCCCCCCCC